GTTCTCTCTCTTCCAGGCAAGATGGCTCATCCTTATAGGGGTTGCAACCAAACAGTCCAATTCTCTCTTTTAAAATATGTTCTGTCAGCTCCCACAACACTATTTTTTACTGTTAGCCCTATTTCCACAGTCCCAGCCCTAATCATTTGGTGTGAGTTACAGAAACATAGCTAGAAGAGCCTTATTAAGAAATTTCACTCACCCAGCCTCACCCCATCCCTTCACCCAGCCTAGCTTCTGTTAGTACTTCCTGCAAAGGCCAGGGGATGGATTTTGTCCCCATTCATACATAAAGATATATCGCTGTAGCCTCTTCTTGTTTAGAAGGGTATTGGCTACTACTACGATCCCAGGAAGGACTGGTGGGGCAGTAGGCTAAAGGTTGAGCTGCTCTCTGAAAGGGAGAAAATTTGTCTATTCCCATAAAGATTTACAACCTCTGAAAGTCTAAAGAACTATTCTACTTTGTCTTATTGGGTCACTATTGTTTGTGCCGGGTCCAGACTAGGCAGCCCCCCATCTCCGCTCCGGACTAGGCAGCCCCCATCTCCTCTCGGGCTCCTCAGGAGGATAGAACTTCAAGGCTCCCATTTCCAGCCTCTTGGGAGGATAAATGACCTATTGAAGTATGCATCTTCTGCTCCAACCTTCCAAGGAGCTTATCTCTCCAGATCAAGTTTGTGCAGCCCTGTCCCAGCCCTCCAGGGAGCAGGTTGGCAAACAACAAAGGCACTTTGCACAGATCGCATCCTGACTCAAGGTCCTGCAGCTGCAAGCAAAACATCTCCCGTCTTGTTGTCAACAGACACCTCCCTAGCTCGAGCCACATATATCTCCCATCGCCTCACCGACAAGCTGCGATGTCCCTGACCTAACTCATTGGGTCTCGGAACCACCCAGGAGCTCAAGATGCTCCCGTCCCTTTCTCTGCTCTCCCTTCCTTCTCAGCTCTTTCCTCCCCTAATAAAGCCGCTCTGAACCTCACGTTCTTTGCCTCAATCCCGTCTCCGTGCAGTGTCTCGGAACTGACCTCACCACGAGGAGGAGCTGGAACTGACCCAGTGGCAGTGCCCAGGAGGCCCTCTTGTTCAGTGCTGTAATCTCCTTGAATGCCTTCATACCTGCACGTTAAATCTCAATTCAATATCTATTAAAATACCTGGTTCACTTTTTTTCCCTGTCAGCTCCTACATCCCTTTTGTTCTGCACTGCCCTAAATCTAATATCCCTTGTCCCTATTTCTCATAATGGGATTCTCTCACTTCAGACTTGTTTATGCCCTGTCAAGACATTCTTTCTGTTTCTTACATCTGACTTTATCATGGTGTATAATGGCTCTTGGCAAAGAAACAGACAAGGTAACCTTGAAGTAGACGGTGCTGTCACAACACCTAATAAAACAGTAAATGAGTCCCAATTGTCTCATGTGAAGTCTGCTCACAGTGTCAGATTAACAGCTCTGACAGGAACTCACGCCATTTAGTTAAAATTCTAATAGCTAGCAGCTATAATAATTCATGTTGTTCACTTGGCTTTGTCGACTACTTCGGCATCTTCTGACAACAAAGGTGGTATGTGACTTCGAGAAAGACACCTCTCTTCATTCCTCATTCAAAGTGGACCTGTTAGATTCGTTCATTTGAGCAAAGTTTATCGCTCTTCGATTGTGTGCTAGGTCTTAGTCTCGCTGCTGGAGCATGCCTAAATAAACAATCTCAAATGCATGCTGTGCGCCCATGGACTTGGCCTTCCAGTCAGGGAAGAGGGTGAGCAATAGGCATGATCACACAGTATGTTGAACATTTTGAAAAGGGGCCTGGGTGCAAAAATAGAAATCCAGCACCAGGGAATGAAGCAGTAGATTGGATCTTTTAAAAGATCAATTATAACCTCATCAGGAAAATGACATTTGAGCCCGTCTCATAGGAGGAGAGGAAGGGAGCCAGGAAGCAGGCGAAGGGAATGGAAGTGCAAAGGCGCTGTGTGTTGGTGGGCAGGCCCACGCGGCTGGAGTGCGGCAAGCCAGAGGCAAAAGTAGAATTATGACAGATGAGAGAAGTCATGTGGCCCACAAGGCCCACTCAAAAAGCTGCCTTTTGTCTCTGACAAAAAATGATCCACATGATTCAATGTATGAATCATGTTGGAAAACCCTGATTTACATTATTTCTAAAATGGTTGATAGATAGCTGTAGGGTAAAGTATTGACTAAACATGAATTGGGAAGTTACTTAACACAACACTACTACAATACTCCAAACCAGAGATGACAGAGGCTTGTATCAAATTGTAGCAGTGGGGGCAGGGAAAGAACATATTTTAACGAGGTATAACTGATGGAGGCCTTGTCGGGGGTCAGTGAGAAGAAGAAGGTCCAAGATGATCTCTTTGGGGTGTGAATAGATGGGAAGATAGGCGTGTCACTCAACAAGATGAGGGGGAGATGGGTTCCACTGGAGACCTGTTATGGTTGAGTTACCTGGTAGACATGCACCTGAAAAGCTTCAGTAGGCAGGTGGATATGAGCCTGGGGTCCGAAAAAGAGGTCCCGGTTACATGTGTGTAGTGATC